AAAAAAAAAAACCTTGAAATCTCTCAAAACCTACCCATCCACCAGCTAGAACGTGAAAAATAGTCGAAAATCCAAACCTTACTCGACTGATTTGGTGGCCAGAGTTTTCCGGCCAAACCACGACCGCAGACGGGTGGGGAAGGTGTCGGGCTTGACGGTGGGTCCTGGCCAGTCAGGTTTGGGCCGGTCCGGTGGCCGTGGCCGTCGATGTGATGGAGGTTGCACGGAAGGGGGGTGTCGGGGATGGCTGGTAACGGGGAGAGAGGAGAGACACGGGGAGAGAGAGAGAGTGAGGAGAGAGAGAAGGAAATCTGATTTTCAAAAATTACAATTTTGCCCTTTTTCGTATTTTGATTGTATTTTCTTCAATACGACTCGGATTTGAGCCCACTACGTGTCTACGAACTTGTTTTGTCGCGCTCTATGCAACAGTACAAGCAGATTTTCCAAATTCTTTCCCAGTCAAAGAGTCAACTTAAAACCTAATAAAATATTTCGAGGGTAGTTTAGTCTTTTCCTCTAATAAATTATTAATTAGATATTAATTAAGGTTTGGGTTGTTACATTGTAAACGTGCATTAAATCCCCGTATTTTATTTAGGACTTGATTAAGGGTCTCAAAACGATGTATTCTACATGGATTTCCTCTTAGCATAACTGTTTCTCCTTATAGACTTCCTCTCAGTAGGAAGAACAACTGTAAGTAGAAGTTCCTATTATATAGGACTTCCTTTTAAGGGAGTGTAATTGGGGAGTATGGTAGTGGAGTCTTTAAGTCCTCTTGCATTTTCTGCTTGGTAACTAATTAATTAAAAAGCTAAAACTAGTTGAAGGTGTCTTCCCCTTCATTCCAGAATTGGAATTAACAATTATGTATGCTTCTTTTGACATCACCAAAGCCATAAGGATGATGCATATCTACACTACAAGCCTCCAAAATAGGTGTACAAAATTTGAACCAAAATTTTCTTTGAATCGGTTGAAGAAGATTTCATTGGCCCGCACTATTACCTCCTCCTCAATATCAAACTCATTCACATAGTCTAAAGCAGCGTCCACCCTACAGTGCTATTCCACTTGTACAGTCAAAATATTTAAATAAATAAAAACATTTATAGGCATGTAGTTGCAGAGCAGAAGATGTAAGGATTTTCTATGCGGCTTTATTAGACAGTAACATTAGGCTTCTAATACTAGAAAGAAATCAATAAAGCAGAAAGGCATGGGTGGGCAAGGCCCAACTTTCCAGTCCTTCGACAACTAGGTTTAGCAATCATCTTCACATTCACTGTACACAGAGACAGAGGTTCCTCCGCACCCGAGAGAGACAAAGCTTCCCATCTTATGCTATTGTTCTGTCTCTCTTCTCTTATTTTGCTCTCTCCATGATTCGTGAAATTACAACATGGCAACCCGTTCGTACAATTCTCTGTCTGTATTTTTATCTGTAAATTTGGATGCGTTTGTTTTTCTTCTTTGTGAAAATTTGGTTTTGTTTTGTTGATTGTACAGCGGTGGCAAGATCCTTTCTTCAGGTGGCAGCGACAGAAGAGGTTGCTTCCCCTCTCAGAGTTGTTCAGATCGAGGGATTGGTAACTCTCCATGATTCTCGTCTTTTCTCTGTTTTGCTTTTTGTAAATTGCTGGAAAACTATGGATGTCTAAGTTGAATATAATTATGCGAAAGAAAAAGGAAAACGAGCTCAATTAAATGTTACATTGTTTCAATGGCTCCCAAAATATCAGACTAGGCACATAATTAGTACCATTCTAGAATCTCATTCGTAAGCTTATGGTTTTTGTTATACTGATTTTTTTTTTCTCCTTTTACGAAACCCCAATTGATTGCTTTTGGAACTGGGTTTGCCGAGTTACCTTATTGTTGGTATTAATATATATATATTTTTTGTGTTTTTACACAAAAATAAAAACAGGTTATTTTAAAGATAATCAAACATTGCAAGGAATTTTCACCGGCTTTGGTCACAGGGCAGCTTCTGGGATTAGATGTTGGCAGCGTTCTTTATAACAACTTTGGACACTTACAAGTATATTTTTCTTAAATGGTGTTGAGTAAAAAATTACCGCCATATGTATGACGGCCTAGGTTATTTTAATTTGAATGTCCTCCTAATGTTCTTCCCGAAGGTTATCTTATCTGAGGATCCCACATTGAATCCAGACAGTTATATGGTTGCGGTGCTTTACAAACATAACCCTGAGTTGGCTTTCACTAAAGGAGGAAGAAAACATTGGATTTACAGCGGGAAAATTACACGGGACTTGCTTACGGATGTTATACGTCATAAAAGTCAAGTCTTTGCAGTTGCAGAGTGGGGAAACATTTTTTCCATTGATATCAGTAGGAAGCGAATAAAAGCAAAGATTCTTACCTCGCAAGAAAGTCCATTCGCAAGTTCTGCTTATAATGCTTATCTGGTGGAATCAACTAAGGGAGACTTGTTGCATGTTTGAAGATTGCATAAAGATATATTTTATGCTGGTGAAGAGGAATTCATGGTTTACAAGTTGGTGTTCAATGGGAAGGATGGATCTGTGCAGCATGTTAAATTGAGAAGTCTTGGAGATGAGGTTATGTTCCTGAGTAACAATTGTGGTATATCAGTTTTGGCTTCAAACTTTCCTCGGTGCCAACCCAATTCCTGTAGAGTTAAACTCAAAATCCAAACACAGGTGAGAAGAGCTGCTGGAAAGCGTAATATGTATATTGATAAAGTTGAACTTAAATAGAACATTACATCATCAGACTATGCTAAATTCAAGGACATGACTCCTACTAACTTAATCCGTTACTGACACTACTAACAAACTGCTCCACTACTGGGAGACTCCTAAAGACTTGGTAAACATAACAACGTGCAACATGACTTCCTCCATAATAGGATAATCAGTTTATTTAATTAAAACAACTGCTGTAACTAGATAAAATCTTAACACCCTCCCTTAAACTAAATGTTCCTTGAACAATCAGTTTAGAGAGAAACCTTCAACATGCACTATAGCTTCTGTCTTCAAGCAATATCCTTCACAGAGCAAACTCCTAACAATCTCCTTAGCTTCGAGAACACCGGTAATTTAAGAGGCTTGGTTAGAATATCAGCTACCTGATCTTCACTTCTGCAGTAGATTAAATCAATTGTTCCATCCTTTGTGAGGTCGCATAGGAAATGGTAGCGAACATCAATGTGTTTGCTTCTGCCATGTAAAACTGGATTCTTGGACAACTTGATTGCTAAACTATTATCACAATAGATAGGAGTTGGACCATCTTGCAAACCACGTAATTCTTCAAGTATCCTTCTCAACCAAATAGCTTGACAGCCGCAGGCTGTTGCTGCAATAAACTCAGCTTCGGTGGTTGACAGAGTGACAATCTGTGTTTTTTGGATGACCATGAAACAGCTCCTGCTCCCATTTTTGCTGCCGCCAAATGAGGCACTTCTGGACACTCCATATATTTGCTAATGAGACTCACTGCGTGTTGTATGTCTGGCCTAGTTGCTGTCAGGTACATCAGACTTCCTACAATCTGTTTGTAGAGAGTTTGATCAACCTTCTTCTCCCCAGAATTCTTCACTAGTTTCAAACCAATTTCAGTTGGCGTACAAACTGAATTGCAATCCTTCATCTCAAACCTGTCTAAGATCTCTTGAAGATATTTCTTCTGTGAAATAAATATTCCGGCACTAGATTGTACTACTTCTATACCAAGAAAATAGTGCATCAATCCAAGATCAGACATATCAAACTCATGCATCATGGATTTCTTAAAATCATTAAACATGGCCACATCATTACCTGTATAGATCAGATCGTCCACATACAAGCACACAATGAGTATCTGCCCTTCCTCTCCAGATTTTGTAAAGAGTGTATGCTCATATGGACATTTTTGAAATCCTTCTCTTGCAAAATATGACTCTATGCGGCTGTACCAGGCTCTGGGAGCTTGCTTCGGCCCATATAAAGCTTTTTTAAGCCTGTAAACTTGTCTTTCCTTCCTTGGCTGAACATAACCTGCTGGCTACTCAACATAAACCTGTTCTTGCAACTCACCATGTAAAAACGCAGACTTCACATCCAGCTGGAAGATAGGCCATGAGTTCTGTGCCGCCATTGAAATCACCAGTCGGATTGTGTCATGCCTTGCCACTGGAGCAAACACTTCTGTGTGGCCAACGCCGTACTCTTGCTTGTAACCTTTCGCCACCAAGCGTGCTTTGTGCTTATGAATCTCACCCTTCTCATTTAGCTTTGTCTTAAAGACCCATTTGACACCAATCGTCTTGTGCCCTTGTGGAAGCTCTGTCAACTCCCAAGTATTGTTCTTCTCAATAGATTTGATTTCCTCATCCATGGCTTTCTGCCACTTTGGTTCTCTTACGGCATTAGAAAATGACACAGGATCAGAATCTGCAAACAAAGCAAAGTGAACAAGTGGATCATCATCACTTCCTTCACTTCCACTAACGGAATCAAACACCCATTCAGAATCTATCATCCATGCAGGCCGCTTCCTTAAACGTTGGGGTCGTGCACTAGATGAACTTGCAGTCTGAGCTCCAATTAGCGGAACAACTAGTGCTGGAACAACTGAAGAAGTTGGTTCTGGAACAACTGATGAAGTTGATGCCGGAATGCACTATTGTGGTTGCTGCTGTTCCAGGTTGTCATCAAAATTGACTGGAATGTTCTGCTGCTGCTGAGAAACATCATCACTCCAATTCCATGTCTTCTCTTCATCAAATACAACATCTCGGCTAATAATAATCTTTTTGGACACAGGATTGAATAACTTATACGCCTTGGAAACTTCACTTATGCCAAGAAAGACACATTTTTCACCTTTGTCATCAAGCTTCTTCCTTTTCTCGTCTGGAATGCGTGCATATGCAATGCAGCCAAAAACTTTAAAGTAACCAACTGCAGGTTTACGGCCGCTCCATGCCTCTTCCGGTGTCAAATTCTGACCAGCAAACGATCAGTTCGAAGAACCTTGATCGTATTCTCTATCTCATTCTCAGCAATCGCCTTAAAGTGTTTGAATGCATTTAAGGCTTTTAATTTCTCCTGTAAGAAATAAACCCATGTTTTTCTACTGTAATCATCAATGAACGTTATAAAGTACCTTTTTCCGGCATTGGAAGCTGGAGTTATTGGCCCACAAATATCTGAATGGACCAGCTCAAGAGGTCTTCTAGCCCGCCATGCTTTTCCCTTCGGAAAGGTTTCCCTATGTTGTTTTCCAACAACACAAACTTCACAAACTTCACTTGGATAGGTTATTTGAGGAAGGCCAGTCACCATCTCCTTATCATGTAGCGTCTTTAAACCTCTAAAATTCAGATGACCATAGCGTAAATGCCACAGCCATGCTGGATCATTGACCTTGGCAGAGAAACATGTAGGACCATCACTTTGAATATGTAATGGAAACATTCGATTTGTCGTCATGTAAGCCTTAGCAATTAAGCCCCTCTTTTGATCATGAATCTGACAAGCTCCTCTTGTAATCTTGATCTCATATCCCTTTTCATGCAGTTGTCCCAAGCTCAGCAAATTGCTCTTCAAACTCGGAACAAAGAAAACACTGGAGATAGTATGGACAGTGTTATCTTTAGCCCAAATTTTGATATCTCCTTTTCCCAAAACAGAAACTTTGCTGTCATCTCCAAATCTCATTGTAGTTGTGAAATTTTCATCGAAGGTAGAGAAAATTGACTTTTCTCCACACATGTGATTACTGCAACCTGTATCCAAGTACCACACATTCTTTTGTGGTTTTTCCATGGTTTGACACACCATTAGAATAGCCCCGTCATCTTCTTTCTCTTTCTCTGCAAAATTTGCCCTTGCACCCTTTGCTTTATTCATACTTGTGTAACATTCAAACCTGTAATGACCATAATTGCCACACCTGAAACACTCGACATTTGATTTGTCGACATTCGAATCATGATTGCTTGAATGCCTTCGGCCTCTGCTGCTGTTGCCTCCAGAATTATAATAGCCTCTACTGCTACTGCCGGAATCATGAGTGTCTTTGCTGCCGGAATCATGAGTGTCTTTGCTGCCGGAATCATCATTGGATTTGTTCCCATCTCTGCTACCTCGACCTCTTCCATGGCTGCCTCCTCTACCATGTCCTCGACCACGACCACCACGACCTCTTGCTGCCGGAGAATCACTATTTGTTGAAACTTTCAAGGCATGTTCCTCAGATGTACTCCGATTGATCTTCTGCTCATGTACAAGCAAGGAACTCTGCAGCTCATCAATTGAAAGTTGCTTAACATCATTTGACTCCTCAATGGAGCACACAACGTAGTCAAACTTTGTAGTCATAGATCGCAGGACCTTTTCTACGATGGTCACG